TCGTCCAGAATATTCTAAATTCGAACTCCTCAACTGCCGTTATATTCGTTTCAAAGCTTCGTTTTTGTTGTTATATTTTAGTTTCCACAGCTCGAGTGACTATTCCAATATGGGTCGATTTAAGGAAAATGAAAATTTTCCGATGGCGTCTCCCTCGCGAACCGTGCTGGGACTTAAAGAGAAAGCGCTCTCTCAAGTGCCTCTTACAAGATCGTCCCATTAATTGAGTACCCAATTTTCTTGAAATAAAATAAAATATTTACAAATTCCGTCTATTTGCTTACAGATACGTGCAAAATTGCAGGATTGTAGGTTTTTTTTTTAATGACGCACAAATTGGCCTTCAATTACGAGTGTTTCAGGATAATTTCCCGGAGATGGTGTTTATTTTTTATTAGGTGCGTCTTAAAAATATCGACGCAGATTAGAGTCTTTTTCCTGGATGTATGATGAAAATTGCGCCCAGGTTTACATTCATCGGGATGTCAACTGTTCAGGCCGGGTTGCCACTATTAAAGTCTGATTGTGTTTATGAAATCTACGCAGCACAGCTCAATTTTCCTTGAAAATAAACTACTTAAATCAAAATTAACTCTTCTCACACGGAAAAAATCAAATTGCTGATTTAACAATTCAATTGCTAAAAAAAGTGACTGCAATGTTTCAACGTAGATTTTAGAACAAAAAATGCTGCCTTAACCACTACTGTGAGCTAATTTAACCACGAGGGTGGTTAAAGTAGCATTTTTGTGCTGTGAAATCTACATTGAAACATTGCAGTCACTTTTTTTTAGCAATTGAATTGTTAAATCAACAATTTAATTTTTCCATGATGTTTTTTGGAGATCACGAGCTATGATCGACCATCGTTGGAGACGAAAAATCGCAAAATCGTCTTGATTGCAAATTTTTTCCCAAAAATTGGAAGTCTTTAGTTAAGTGCCAAAGAACCAAAATTAAGTCTTCATAGCTTTAAGAGTTTGAAAAACTGCCCTACGGCTCCATTCCATCTAACGTATTGCACAATTTAAAAATTATGCATTTCGTGCGCTGCATTTTTTTTTCTTCTTTGTATTGACGGTAAAACTAGTTTGCGGTGTTTTAAAATATCCATCCCTATTTTATTTTACCTTTTGAACAAATTAACATTAAGTATCTCTTAAAATTTTTTTCAGAGTTTTTCTCGCCCAGAGAGTAAAATCACAGAAGTTTTTAAGCATTGACGTTGATTCGTTTTTCATTTAAAAAATAAATCACGACAAGAGGTCTGCAACGTTGCAAACCGAGGTAAGGGGTTTGGAATTTTCACCACCGAGAGGAAAAATGAACGTGCTTATCGGAAGAGGACAGCTCAAGTTGACATCACTACAACGTTAGTTACATCCATTTGTCTTCTTAACAGATGTGGAAAAAGTTCCTGTAAAAATCTCGATTTTCAAGTAGATGGAAAGTAGTTTTACATTTTCCTCGAGCATTTGTGGCGGTGTCCTATACATTAATTTCAGGTTTTAGAGTTACGTTTTCTAATTATCTGCGACAATGGTCTTTTATACACGGATGCAAAGCACCATTTCATCTCAAAATCGACCATAGTTTATAATTACGTGCATCCAAAGTTTCGATCGTAATACCATTGTACTTCCTTGGGCCCGGCTTTTCTATAGCACCTAATGGAGGAGATTATCTCTACCTCAACAATTTTAGTAGGTATAGATTATAGAAAAACGGTGCCACTCTCTGATTCAGCTGTGAGGTTCAGGCTTTCCAAGGAGCCCTAAGGATCCAATGTAAATAAAAATGATTCCGACGTAGACTTCTAGACGTGATAAACTGTTTTTAATTTTTAACTTCGAAAATGATTTCTGAACAACCACGATGAATCGGTTTGCCGATATTCCCACTATTTCCATGCCGCCGTGTCAAAGAGAAACGCCATGCATATAAACATTCCAACGTTGCCAAATTTCGTTTTGACAGAAATTTCAGTTTTCAAAAAGATACGTGGGATAAGAGATATAGATACAAGGAAAAGATGAAAGAAAGTCCAATAGGATTGTCATTATTCATTAAGATTTCCACACTTTTTAGATTGAATTACCTATAAATGAGATCCTAGGAAATACGCAAAGAAAAATGTACATATACTTAGGAAAAATATCTGTTCCTTGGCAAACATTCAGGATTAACTGAATGTTCATGCAGCGTTTTTCTTCGTACGGTAGCGTATAGATATCATTGATTGTTTTCTCAGAAACAAACCTTCTAAATTGGGTTTATTTTAGAGGGGCCCTAGGAACCCCATGGTTTAAAACTAATGAACCAATCAGAGAACAGCACAAACATTGCAGCACTTTTTCTGAATGGGTAGGTACTGTTGGCTGCACTATACCGACGAATATGACTTGACGGAAGATTGTGTTGACCACTGAGACATCGAGTCATTGACTCTCTAGGAATGGAGAAAACTGAAGTCCCCTAGGATGAGGGGCCCGTGATCACCTGTGGCAAGTTGCGTTCGACGCACATGCGCTGCGACAAGTGACGACTGTAAATGAAGGGTAAAATCAATTGGATAGGAGAGGCAAAAGCTGAGTGGGAGAGAAGTCAAAGACACGAAACAAAGCCTTCAAGTCGTAAAATACTCATAAAAGGCAGTTTTTTCCACGGCCGCGGCCCGACTCCAGGCCACAATCTTATCTCGCGCGGCTGATTAGTTCCGAGTTGGACCTGCCCGTTTTCTGTTCCACGTTCCCAGTTCCGTATCTAGTCCACCGTTGCCAACTCGGATTGCCTTGAGAGAACAGACAAATCCATAGACCACGAGAAAAGTGGAATTCCAAAACTGCCGTGCTAAGGAAAAACGCCGTATGAACCTTCAGGCGTTGCCAAATTTCTTTCGATGAAACGTGAATTTCCTTGTGAACTAATGTATATTTTCCTCCCAATTTTTCAAATAATTTTGTTCGCAATTTCACCTAAAGTTTCTGAAAATTTCAAGGAAAAATATCCACAGCTTTCCTCAAAAATAAATATTTAATCAGAGGAAATTTGGCAACTCTCGAGTGTTGATACGGCGTTCTTCCCTAGGACGGCAGAAAACCTGATGAGCGTTGCTTGGAGTGCCTTGGCAAGGAGAATATTATCAAGTCTATGTCAATCTCTGATTGGTTCATCACTGTTAGGCCTTTGATGGAGTTCATAGAGTCTCATGTAAGCAAATCCGAGGTAGAAATATCTCTAAATCTCAGGGAGAAATGATATCTGCACAAAAAGTGTGATTCATTGGCGAGAATATCCATCAAATTTTCCAATCTATTAAAGTTCGCGTAGAACTTTTCTTAGAGATTGAGATAAAAATTTTTTGGCACGCCTAGAAATCTGTCACTTTTATGTTATTTTAACAGTGAGCACGGTATTTGAAAATTCGCAATACGCTCATGCATACCGTGCGTCAAGGAAATGGATTTTAGACATTCTCTGATGCGTTCAACTTGACGTACGTGCAATTTTTCGTATTGGCAGTGTACTCAGAAACAGAGGTGGATCCAGCAAGTGGGCAACACCGGATTCCCTCCATTTAAACCTGTATTAAATAATCGATACTTGTCGGAGCACCAGGCCCCTCCAAGAATCGATTCATTTCCATAGGTTTAAATGAAGAAAAACAATGTTGCCAATTCGCTGTATCCGCCGATGCATGCTCGGAAAGTCTGACGGACTGCTGTGTCTCTTGTGAGCAACAGAATCATTCCATTGAGCATCCAGCATTGAATTTCCAGGCCTTTTCTAGAAAGACCATGTTTCCCGAACTACTGGGATTTTCAGATTCAGACCCCAGGTCGAACGAAGTCAGAGATCGTAGGGTTGAATAGGGAATCGAGCCCAAGAAATCAAAATTTCGTAGCCTTGAAGCCCTTCCCTCAGGCGATAAAAAGGGGTTGTCCCCCTCCCCCATATTTTTCCTGGGTCTCTACGTCAATTAAGTGATATCGAAGTTTGGAGAGGAGAGCTCCGTCCCCATCTCTAGGAATCGATATTTCGACATAATTGATGTGATTTTCGGAATTTTTGGTATCGATTTGGGGTAAAATTGTCCGTGCTCTCTGAAATTAACAGTTGAAATAATTCCTAAATTTTAATGGGGACCCCAACTTTGAAAATCACGACCTCCTTCCTTCACCCCTTGAAGAAGCTGGGGGGGCTTCGAGACCACAAAATTCGGATTCCTTAGGGTCCACTCCCTGTTATACCCTGCCTAACTTGACTTTAGCAGACCTAAAAAGCCTGTCCGAGAAAAAAGCCTGGTACAGGTGGTCTGAAACACCCTGTATATTCTAGTAGGTTTTACTAGGGAAGGTTAACTTTTTGTTGCAATGCAGCGAACAGAGAGGGAGAAATAAATTTGACTGAAAGAAAGTTAAAGACTTGACAATGGCTTGTTCATGACAACCGTAATGCCTCCATATAGTCTTTTCTGCCCGATTGTCGTCAGATCAATTTTCTGCTTTCCTTCTCTTCTGTGAGTGCCTGGGCTACAAGGCTCTAAGGAAAATTTACTTTATTTTGCTATCAATCTTTGAAGAACATGTATGAATCTTCAACACTTGCGGCATGAAATCAAAATTTTTGAAGCATGATCATTGGAAAATCAAACTTTGGCCAGCCCCTGATAGACACCACTCAATAGATTACACTCTGAACTTGTCTGTGACTTTCCATAGTTTCATTCCTAGACAAGAAGTATTTCATCTCTAAGTTTTGAATACCCTCTATAAGGTAACTCTAAGTATAAATAAACTGATGAGACGCTAAAATCAAAAGACACTTGGAGTACCTAGGTAGACCACAACATGCATGACAAGTGAATCTCTGGTAGATAGGTAAGCACCAAAGTGGAAGGTTTGAAGCCTCTTGGACTTCGAAGGCCTCAATAATATCGAACAATATAGTGCTAGTAGGAAAGTACGAGGAGGAAAAATAAACTATTAGAGTTAACTTACAGGTACTTGGAGAGCACACTTTGAGGCATCGACTTTTGAGAGAGATTGGAGACTTTCAGAGGTTGAACTAAGGAACACCAAATTGAATACTTTTTGAAGGTATGCGGTTAAGAATAAAAACTACTTCGTACTTATACAAAAGATCATGAACTTCGAGCAACTTTAAATATTCAAAGGACCCACAACACTACCGAGAAGATGAACATGAAAGACGTTTGTTTACAACTTGTTATCAAAATCTTGCGAAATGTAAACAAGTCGGAACTCGCACTCCTATTGGTTCCCGCCAATTTCAGTGGCGCGCTCGCAAAATATACAAATTGACGCGCGAATTTTCAAATATGCGGGGTGTCCTCCGATCGAGCGCTCTCTGAGAATCAGCATCGTACCTGACTTTTTTTCGGTTCTTTTAGGTCGTGCGAAGTCAGGGATCGCGGTTACGGATATGGAATCGATCCTGAGGCATCCAAATTTCTTGGTCCCCAAACCTGTCCAGCCCCCTGGGGGGGGGAGNGGGGGGGGGGGGGGAAGGTTATGATTCTGAAAATCGGGGTTCCCGACCGAATTGCGATTTAATTGCATCAGACTCAGCAGGTACGGACGTTTGTCCATATTTTTTCATTTTGATGATTATATTCCAAAATCTTGACGGCAAACCCGAAATTTGTGGAGGGGACACTACGCACTACTCTCCTCTTCGGGAATCATTTTTAGGCCTAAGGTGGAGCTTTGGACTTCTAGACGTCAGTTTAAAAGGGAAATTCTCGTACTTTTCAATTCTGATGCATGTAATTTCAAGTATTTCCCTAAAAATATTCCCTTCAAAACCTGCATTGGAGCTGAAAGGGTTCGAGGACAATAATTAACCGTTTGATCCAGTTGATCAAAAGGTCATAGCTCGCGTTTCATACTTTTCAGTTTATCATAGGTTTTATGAAAAAGATTCTTTGGACAGGAATGGCAAACTTGTGCCTCTAGGCGTGGTAGATCTGCTTTAAGCACTGAAAAAAAAAACACATTGGATCTAGAGTCCAGACTCTTAAATACATCGACAAGAAAAAATACTCTTGATTCAATCAGATTTAAGCTTAAATCAAGAACCAAGCCTCTTAATTTGAGCGGATTTCCTTTTGATTTAAGCAAAAATCTGATTGAATCAAGAGTATTTTTTCTCATCAATGTTTTTAAGAGTTTGGACTCTAGATCCAATGTGTTTTTTTTTCCAGTGAGGTAAAATCAGGATGTTAGGTGATTTTTTTCGATATCTCGATATTCGCTTATTTCCGCCATAGCTTCGCCTTTCGCAAGGGACATGATACCGAATCAGCGAGCGAGAAGGATCTATCGGCACCGCTTAGGTACATTTTAGGACACATTGCACGCGAGTCGGAGAGTATTCTCACTACGCACGTTTGATTGCTGCTTGAATTAGCTACCCGGGGCGCCTTCAATGTTGTATTTATGTGACGCGCACATCCGTTGAGCACGAATAGCTGCCTCGAGGGGCCATTATCATTGTTCCGTTGTAACATTTGGCTAAGATGTTTTTGTAACAGAAGGCGTCTTAAATCGTCGTTGTTTTTTTGTTGGAATAACGCAATAGCTTATTTTTTACTAATATTTTAGTCAACGATATCACACTTTTTAAATGTTCATTACCTAACAACATTAATTATTCTTCTGATTATAATTTAAGGAACACCCAGAGTTAATAAACGTGTTCAGACAACCGAAGTCTATCCAAACAGGAAATCCATAATAGACGAACTTTTTCTGCGTGCATAAGCCCGATCGAGATGGAAAAATATTAGCATGGGAACAGCATTGGAATGCATTTTAGATTTAGATTCACTTAATTTTATTAAACGTTTTTGAGGGAAGCTCCAATCTTGCCAATCGTCGCTCGTAGGAGGGGAACCGGAACTTCTTTTTTAAGTTTTAAGAGTTCAGGACAGCCAAATAGGACTTTTTTTAAGAGCCCAACACAATTTACCAGACTGTAAAGAATCCTACACCAACAATTTTCTAGCACTACGCCACACAGTGGGTCAACCAAACCTAGGATAAATTTGCCTCAACGGGAGGGATCGAACAATATTTGGAAACTTTAAAAGCTTATAACTCCGTTTAAACAAAACTTTGAGGTTTTAAAAGCGGTTCCATTTGTTTTCTTGTAAAATTATCTGCTAGAAGTACCCCTAAAATTTGAAATCTGACGAAATAAACATCAAAATTCGCAGTTTTAGTCAAAAAGTTTAGATCCGACCTCTCCAGTTAACTCGATCCACTGTGCGCCAGTCTCAAACTTTAAGGCCTGTCCTGGACGAAATTCCCGGTAAAAATTACGAAATGTTTTCTTCCGACTTTCAACAAGAGGCAGCACGGATGAAGCACAGTGCGTCAGCAGCGACAACTTTCCTCATGGAGTCCAAACCATCGTTGCCAAATCGCCACTCAAAACTTCTCTCATGAACGCCGCGGATATTGAAAATTTATCCTAGATTTGGTAACACTCGCCGAGGCTTAGGGTACGGCACCGCACGGCGTTGTTTCAACAGCTATTCATACAGACCGCTTCCCCAAGTCAAACAAACGGGCTAATTGAAAGACGCATTGTGAGTTGTAGCCCTCAACAACGGTTCACGGCCGGAATTGCCACATTACCTAGGCTCCGCCACGGCGATATATCGATTACATTCCGATTTTTTACCGGGCCGGTCGGTACGGAATCGATCGATTGCGTAACTCGTGGTGCGACGTGGAATTCTGTATTTAATCGTGAAATTTTGCATCCCCGCCCGTGGCGTAGCTTTAGAAGCGACATTTGCAAGTTGAAACGAGGTAGACACAAAAATTCATGGACTCGGGCATCCAGCTCTGGGAGGGTTTCTAGGGATCAAGAGCCTTGCGGCATGCACCCGACTGTTCTTTCCGACTCGTCAATTACGGGCAAGGATTGTCACGGAACACGACAATGTTCAGAGAAATCAAGGAGGCATGGCAATACTTTTTCCTACGCTGCATGGAAAAAAACTTCTGCTAGACTGACTGAGCCTTGGTTCATTGAGACACTAACTGGTATTTCCAATCATAGATACAAATTTTTAAGAACAGCCCAAGACAATGATAACAGTGGAAAAACAAGGATGAAAAACGGGAAACAAGGCTAAAAATACACAAATAATGAAACCCGAGACGTTTCGACTCAAAACTGAGTCATTTTCAGTCGGAAACAATGAAAATTTAAATAAAAAACGATAAAAAACCTGAGCCCTACATGGTGGTGGCCGGGATCTGAGAGAGAGAGAGACAGAGAAATCGTCGAATTCCGTTTTTTCTTTTAAATTTTTATTGTTTCCGACTGAAAATGACTCAGTTTTGAGTCGAAACGTCTCGGGTTTCATTAATTGTGTATTTTTAGCCTTGTTTCCCGTTTTTCATCCTTGTTTTTCCATTGTATTTCCGATCTAGATGACCGAAGTTTTTGGTCATTGCGGCCGAACTTCGATTTAGATAACTAGTTTCCCTGCTGCAGAATACGATCTGAGTCAGGCTAACAAAAATTTTGATTATCTAAGCCAAATTTCAGTTTTTTATGACCGAGGACTTCAATGCTCCATGTGTCTTACGTATTCCCGTGGGTATTGATGATCTTTCAAAACCCCTTAAGGATGGCTGTAGACTCCGTCCTTGGGGAATAAAAGGACTAAGGCTAAGAAAAGAAAAACAGGATTTTTTGTCTTTGTATGGAAGGATCGAGATGTTTTCATATTGTCAGAGATAATTGCCCAAATATCATGTCATTAGTCCTATATAATTACACAGTGGTTCTTTTTCAAGAGTTGATACGTGAATAATATGTCCCTTTTTCTAAGTTCCATCCATTCTATTGAAATCAACTCGGAGATTGTTTTAACATGGTTAAACTCTTGTTCTTTTTTTCAGTGATACTAAAGGACTGATCGAGGGACCAACTGTCTAAGGGGCGATCGGTCCCAACAGGGTGATCAACCGTGGAGATCAACCGCCCCAAATTCACACTGAGGTAAAAAAAAAGTCTGAAATTCACTCCTCAGCGCAAAATGTGTGCAGCTTGTAACAAGCATTTCTTCTCCACGCCCAAATGCACTACCTACTTACTTTATTCGCAATCAGCAATCATGTTTGCCCAAAAAGAAATGTAAGTTAACAACCTAAATGTCCAAAAACTCTCGCAAACTACTCACGATCGATTTTGCTCGTGTGATTTCAATAAATTTAAAAAAAATGTTCCCACGTCCAATGAAGAAATTCTTTAAAACGATAAAAATCACACTCGAGAAAGATTGATGACAGTTTACAAGACAATTGATATTATTCAAGTTAGGTTCTACAAATTGCGCAAACCTGATTGCCGAAAAAAAATGTTTCCGTGAATGCGGGAAAAAATTTGAAAGCGCGTGATGAGGACCATGCAAATTGTGTGTGAAATACGCAAAAATTGAGATAGCGTCGCCCCTCTGACGTAAGGGCGTATCCAGATTTCCACATGAACCCTGTTGTCCGTATAACTCAATGCTTTCCAGGGCTCATGTCGGTATCGAAATACGTCCTTACGTCTGAGGAGCGACGATAGGCGCTCACGTCAGAGGGACGAGGGATGACGTTTGTTGAGATCAAACCTCATTCGTCTGTATCTCCAGTGCGTAACAGACCCCTTCACAAGGAAATTACACCGATTATTAATTTGAATTAAAGCTCTTAAAATTAGATCAATGCTAACAATAAGTAAAATGAAAGTAGCAATCTAGGATTAGTAAAATCGAGATGTGCTTTGCAACTTTCACCGGCAAACTGCCTTATTTAAGGTGAAAATTAACGGGTTCTTAGAGACTTTTTGCTTTCTTTGGAAGAGCACAATGAGATGAGGGAAGCATTCTGAACTCCGAGCGTCTACGAATCAATCATGTGCTCATCTTCGTTGGTGGTTGGACCAGTAGTCGATTGACAGCGTTTAAGGCGCTGGAAACAGCAGCATAAATTACCATCTGACTGACAATGAGCGCTTTGAGTCTTTCATGAGAGAACGTTTATGACGTCATCCTAAGAGTTTATGTCATGCCCTACCTGGTGTCTCCTGTGCGAAACTATGATGAAGCTTACCTTTTTGTTGCCGACGTACGATTCCTGAAAAGAGAGCGAAAAAGTTCGCGGTCG